CACACACACACACACACACACACACACACACACAGACACACACACACACAGGGAGAGATTGATCAGTGTTTGTCTTCAGTCTGAGCCAGAGGTGTAAAGTATTTGAGTAAATGTAATTAGTTACTGTACTTGAGTATCTTTTCGAATTCTTTGTCGTTTTTCTGAGTATCAAAGATATTAGCAACTTTTACTCTCTACTTCACTACATTTTTGAATGAGTATCTGTACTCTTTACTCCACTACATTTTATATGAGTGTTGCAGTTACACATTACATTCTGCATGGCACCTAGCTTTTTCTGCAGCAGTTTATTTCTGCTACAAAAGACATTGAAGGTACTAGATCTTGTGTGTTTGTCCTTACTCAGCCAAACTTGTCAACAAGGCTACTTTACGTGAATGTGAGTTCTTTAGCAAGTAGTTGTGAATCACAGGTGTTTTATATACGAGACGAGGACACGACACATCCAGTGCAAGAAGACATTAATTTATATATCCTTTATACTGAAGAGACCTTTTTGAAGGATATTGTTTTTTGTTTGTTCAAGGTGTAAGGAGAATATTAAATTACTTTTTACTTGACATTTTAATTCTTTAGATCACAACTTTTTGTTGAAAAGTATATAAATAAGTAGCACAAAATAGCAAAACTGAATTAATTAGTAGTACAAAATGGTATAAATTGTATAATTTAATAGTAAAATATGTATTAAATAGTAGCTAAAGTTATATTAATTAACAATATTTTGTGTAAATTAGCAGTACAAATTTTTTTTATAGATTACTAAAACAAAACAATACAACAAAGTAGAACAAATAGTATAAATTGTATAAATTTGTAGTTTTTTTTTTTTTTGCAATTTTGAGGTGCTTATTTTTATTTTGGGTTTAGAAACAAAAACGTGATAATAAACTCTCCTCACAAATCAACTCTTTCTTGTTTTTGTTACATGCTCTCTGTGCCTTGTCTTGGACTTTTATGTCACTTCCTGTCTCTCATGTGTTTATAGTCAGTTTGTAGTCCGTTTGTTCATTGGTTCCCCTGGATTTGTCTCCCTTAGGTGTGTCTTCGTATCTTGTTAAGCTTGTATATATAACCCTAGTGTTTCTTTAGTTCTTTGTGAGTATTAGTAGTTCGACAATATATAATTCAAGAGTATTGCTACAGGTATTTACAGATGGGTCAGCAGCAGTATTTATTCCTACATTTAAAATAAAAATTGCAAAATGGTATGGCAATAGGAAGAAAGATGTCATCAATTCAAGATTAAGAATCGATGGCTGGGAGTTGATAATATTTCTCTAAAAGTATTGTTAGGAAACAGGTCAAGGCAATCAAGAGTGCATGAAATATTATTTAAATACCTGAAAAACACAGGAACAATTGATAGTTTTTTTTTCTTTTCTTTTTTCTCAAAGAAAATTTTCCTCCGTTTTTTTTTTCCTTCCAAATCTATGCACACTCCAGAGCAGTAGGTGGCAGTAATGCACTTTTTTTCCGTTGGCTTGCCAAACCGCCATAAAACACCAGAAGAAGACGTAGAAGTTCTTTGTGAGTTGTTGAATGTAACGGTTGTCTGTTTGCCCGTCATTCTGTTTTTTTCCTTTGGTTTGTTGTTTATTGTTTGTTCAATTTTTTCCATTAAATTACCTGCACATAGATCCTGTTTTCTCCAGCTTCTCACTGCCATGTCTATTTGACTAGTGCATTTTGAGCCTATATTTAGTATAAGTCAAATACTTAAGTACTGTTAAAATCAGACACTCTAAGACTTTTACTCAAGTTGTTTCGGAATTGGTGACTTGTAACGAATTTTCACTGTAAGTTACTCAAGTATGGTTTTCAGATATCTTTCCACCTCTGGTCTGAGCATCATTATGGGTCTGGTTTGTGTTTGTGCCGTACCATCGGAGTGCTGTCGTCAGGCAGAGAGCGCGGCGTGTACGTGAACTCAGAGAAGTCCGGGTGGATTTTCTGGACCGGCTCGATGCCGCTGTGCAGGAGTTTAGTGACCTCCTCCTCCGACACCTTCATGTGGTACATCATCATCTCATTGGCCAGATGACTGCGGAACTGAGCCTCATGGACCTTCTTATACAGCAGAGACTGACACACACACACACACACACACACACACACAAATAAATACAAAAATATTGAGTATTTATATTTATATATAGATATAAATTTATATAAAATTAAAATTGTACAATTTTAATTCTATTACAATATATTCTATACATTATAATTTATATTAAAATTTATATATTATATTAAATTTACATTTTTATACTGTAAATAATAAATATGCATTTATAATATTTTATATATATATATATATATAAATTATATTTTATATTAAATATATATAGCATATAAATTATAAACTGTATATATATACTGTATATACATACACAGAAGAGAGTATAAATCATAAAATATAAATATACTAGCGATGCACAATATTATCGGAACATTATTAGGATCGTCCAATAAAGAGCTCAAGGTGTAAGGAGAATATTAAAATACTTTTTACTTGACATTTTAATTCTTTAGATCACAACTTTTTGTCTAAAATTATATACGTAGCACAAAATAGCAAAACTTAATTAATTAGTAGTACAAAATTTTATAAATTGTATAATTTAATAGTAAAAAAATGAATTAAATGTATTAGCTAAAGTTATATTAATGAGCTGTATAAATCAGTGGAAGAGAGTATAAATCATAAAATATAAATGTACTAGGGATGCACAGTATTATCGGAACGTTATTAGAATCGTCCAATAATGGCTTAAAATGTAAATATCGGCATTGGCCCGATATGAAAAATTATGCCGATACGCCTTACCGATAAGACGAATAGCTCAGATTTGTGTTCATTCTTAAAGCAAACTTTTAGTGTAATGTTGATTAGATTCACTGTTTTGGATCGCTGCATTTAATTGGAGAATGCACGTTTAGAATGATGTGCCTGCAAATGTTAAATCTTCAAACTAAATGTTAAGGTTCCCCCTGCATCTGTCTGCAAAAAAAATGCTGCGATTGATTTATAGTTGATTTATAGTTATTTTCAAAGCTTTCCGTGTACTCTCATTATAAAAGAACTTCATTATTGTTTATTTAATTCTAACAAGTAAGTTTTTCTTAAAAACAAACCAAAATTAAAAATAGTTTGTTTATAACCTCTGTACAGGCGAGAACTGGTGCTGTTTCCAAACAAAAGGAAATATATTGGTATCGGCAATCGGACGAAATGAGTTGGAAAAAAAAAATCGGCATATCGGATATCGGCAAAAAGCCTATATCATGCATCCCTAAATTATACATTCATATACACTACCGGTCAAACGTTTGGGATCAGAACGATTTTTAACAGCAAGGATGTGTTAAATTGTTAAGCAAACATTAATATTGTTAGAAAAGATTAATATTTTGAATAAATGCTGTTCTTTTTAACGTTTTATTCATCAAAGAATCCTGAAAAAAGTATCACAGATTCCAAAACAATATTTGTCAGCACAACTGTTGATAATTCTGATAATAAATCAGCATATTAGAATGCTTTCTGAAGATCTTGTGACACTTTATACTGGAGTAATGATGATGGAAATTCAGCTTTGCATCACAGAAATAAATTATATTTTAAAGGATATTAAAATAGAAACCATTATTTTATATTGTAATAACATTTTGCAAGATTACAGTTTTTTTCTGTATTTTTGATCAAATAAATGCAGCCTTGATGAGCAGAAATGACTTCTTTTAAAATCATTATAAGTCTCACTGATCCCAAACTTTTGAGCGGTAGTGTGTTTATATATATATAAAACATCTTTTTAAGTTTTCTACAGACTTGTCAAAAATATTGCAACTGTTACATCAAATTTATATACAATTTAGATTTTTATTACATTATATACTATATAATAGAATATAAATGATAAAATAAGACTATATATACAAGACGGAATACAAATTATAAAATAAAAATATACATATTTGTGCATATATATATCACATTTTTAATTGAGTTTTCTACAGACTTGTAAAAGTTATTGAAACTGTTACATAAAATTTATATTTTATCATTTATATTCTATTATATAAAATATATAATAGAATATACATTATAAAATATAAATTTCTATGATTTTTTAAGCGTATATGTTTTTGTCATTGTGATATTGTGTTGAGTGATCGAGGGATGCTGTAGAAAGTCTTACATGAGCGATGCTGATGCCGCAGTAGATGGAGAACGCGGTTGCCAGATCCTCATCGAAACGATTGAACCACGGGCCGTTGGTTTTATTCACCAGTTCTGCCACACCGATCACCTCTGATGAGAAAACAGACTGAGGTCAGATCAGTCAGATGTTCTCGTGGGTTTCTGTACTCGCGTCTGCGGTTGATGCACGTCAACATCGCTTTGACTCAAAAGTCTCTGATTGCCCTCAACATCTTTGTGAGAAGAACGGCAAACACACACACGCACGAAGACATTTAACTTTGAGTTCATTCTCTCTAAATCTCAGGCCTCAAATGTTTCTCTTCACTGAATCTTCACTGCTTTGGTAACATAAATCTCCAGCAGGTTTCACTACACTGTAAATATTTTATTTTATTTCTATTTTTTTTTGAGGTTGTAAATAATATGTGAGCCTGCAGCACAAAAGCAGTGTTAAGTCGCTGGGGTATATTTGTAGCAATAGCCAACAATACATTGTATGGGTCAAAATTATACATTTTTCTTTTATGCCAAAAATCATTAGGATATTAAGTAAAGATCATGTTCCATGAAGATATTTTGTAAATCTCCTACAGTAAATATATCAAAACGTAATTTTTGATTAGTAATATGCATTACTAAGAACTTAATTTGGACAACTTTAAAGATGATTTTCTCAATATTTAGATTTTTTTGCACCCTCAGATTCCAGATTTTCAAATAGTTGTATCTCAGCCAAATATTGTCCCATACATCAATGGAAAGCTTATTTATTCAGCTTCCAGATGATGTATACATCTCAATTTCGAAAAATTGACCCTTATGACTGGTTTTGTGGTCCATGGCCACATATAAAGATTACTGGAATACATTTTACATGAAAACACTATTTCAGTCTTTCATGTTTAATTCAGTATGTTACCTGCGGTTTCTTTGTAATTATTTGTGAAATTTACTAGAAACTGAGGACAAATTACTGAGTGAAAATGGTTTTGGATTAAAGTGTAATCCACACATTTTGGGGAATAAGGATGGATTTTTAATTTTGCTAACATCACTTTTCGCCTTGTTTTTGTAAAATCGAACAGAAGTCAGTTCCTGAATGACATCACCCTACAGGAAGTGACATCATTTTGGATATATTTGTAACATATTACGTTTAAAAACTGTTGATACACTTTCTCAAAATATTTTCAAAGTTTCAATGTTACATATTTTAACATTTCTAAAGATTTTATTTATTTCTAGGTCTAAAAAATAAAAAAATTTTCCCCTTAAATTTTCCATTCTTCCATTTATTTCCTGTTCATTTTCTTTGTGGTTGTGTAAATAATTAAATTCAAATAAATAAGGTTATAGATGTCTGAACTTGACCAGAGCGGAGCAGTAATGACAAAATAATCTTTTGCAAACTATTTTAAATGTTTATATATTTTCTAAATATTTAAAGATTTAATCTGTATAGATTTTATTTATTTCCTATGGTTTTCCACAGGGACAGCATCCAGGATTGACGTGTCTGACCTTCGTTCTCATCTTTGATGGGGAAGCAGAGGATGTTTCTCGTCCTGAAGCCCGTGCTGTCGTCCACACCGCGGTAAAACAGAGGGTGGGAATACGCATCCTTGATGTTGAGGATTTTCCCAGTGGTGGCCACGTGACCAGCGATGCCCTGATCCGCCGGGATACGAAACTCCTTCTGCTCAGAGATGGAGAGAGAGAGCACTGCTTAATTGGGATCAGGGGTGTGCGATACGATGACTTTTAATCATGGACAATTTAAATGTCTCCACGATCTGCTTTTGAAGGAATATCGCAGTAACAGTTCTGGAGCCTCCATCTCAATATACTGTACAACGCCAAAAACAATCACATCAAATGTTACTCAGCGGTAGAGTCACACTCACAGGACACTGCACTTATTCACAATCACAAAAGTGCATTATTTGCATGTGGAGAGAGAGAGAGAGACATAGAGAGAGAGAGAGAGAGAGACAGAGAGAATCTGAATAATAACACTTTTGTCTGCTGTAGAGCTAAATCTGTTTTAGAACTGGTGAATTCTATTTAATTTTTGTATTATTATATTTATTTATGTTAACTTTTATGAAAAGCACTTTATGCACTTTAAGATTTTATATATACATATGTGTGTGTGTGTATGTATATATATATATATATATATATACATATTAGGGGTGTAACGGTTCACAAAATTCACGGTTCGGTTCGATGCGACACACTGGTGTCACGGTTCGGTTCGGTACAGGGGTAATTGCTTACGTCACAATGTTGGAAATATTTCTGTTTTAAACCATGCAGGCGAGACAATGGATATCGCACAAGCACCGTGCAAACTTTGCGCAGCAAGAGTTACGCCGGTGAACGTCTTAATGTCAGTCGAGTCACTGCAGAAAGTGAAAGTAAAAACGGAATGACGGCGCTTTCTGCATCTGATGCCGCAAATTCTCTCTGAGACGACGAGAGACAAAGCTACTTCAACATGTGCTGATAACGGTATATAGCTAACTGTTTTCATTTATTCCCTTAAAATTTCTCTTGTGGCCTGTACATAGTGAAAAAATTTCAAGAAATGTATTTTGTGTTAAACAGGTTGTTTTTTGAAAGTCGGTGCTTGAAATAAAAGCTTTTTATTTCATTGATTTTTATTGATGACTGCAGTGTTAATATTTTAATTATAGGCCTATAATTCATTGTATAATAGACCTGTTTTAAAAGACCTTTTTTGAAAACATTTTAACTGAGGAGTAAATAGCCTAATCTTTTGTTATCCTTGCAGCGCGTCAGTTATGTGGTAATTATTGCGGGGCAAATTTGATTTAATAAAAGTAACTTCATAATAATAACAGACCTAATAAAAATAAGAATGTAACAGGCCTACATTAATTGGAAATGCCAAACCCCCCTTTTTTACAATATCTCTGGCTTAATATAATAATAATTTCTCTTTTTCTGTCTTATTTATTTTCTTTGGTTTTGTGGGTTTTGCTGTAATTTCTAGTTTCTTTTAAAGGACTGTGATATTCACAAATCACAAGTTTCCCTCAGTCTAAATCCATTATTTCTCTTTTTTTTAATCGTTTCCCCCCTATTTTTTACTATTAGTGTCAGACTCTGTTCCATGTTTTGTGTGTGTCCTGCTCCCCATGTGCCTTCCCATGCCCTTATTTGGTTAGTTTCCTGTTCCTGTCCTGATTAGTTTATTTCATTTGTCCCAGGTGTTTCCCTTGGTTTTATAGCTCCCAGGTGTGTCTCGTCATCCCCTCCTCCTGTGTGTGTGTATAAAATGTGTTCCCAGTCCCAAGTTCTCGGTCCGCTGTTGTACGTCTTCCTGTAAACGTCGTCCTGAGTTCGTCTCCCTTGGTTCCTGTAAATAAAGTCTTGTCAACATATTCTCCAGCGTCTCCTCGTCCCTCGTGTGTGTGCAACGTGACAATTAGTTTTTATTTGTTTGCTTTTTAATCACTTTTATGAAGAATGCTTTGAATTAACAGTGTATGAAAAAATAAAAGGAGGCTTTGTGGTCTTTTTAAGGATGAATTTAAAAAAATTTCGTCGTCGTCGTTGTTGTTATTAAACTATACGTTGAATCAACACTGCACTAAGCGGAGCTGAATAATGACACTATTATCTTCAGTAGAGCTGCTTTTATAATTGTTGAATTTTACATTAACAGTTATTTTCCTGTTTATTACTGTGAAGTTGTTTTAAAACGATCTGTATTGTAAAACATGAGAAATTTGTACACAAGCACACGTTTACTATACCTCGTCATCGTTCACGACTCCTCCATCGAACACTTTGGCCACGAGTTCATGACTGAAGTGATCCAACAGGAACACAGAACAACTGAGAGAAAGACAGAAAATAGCTCTGAACACAACTGAACAAACCCAGAATATCCGTGTTTCAGCTCAGTCCGCATTAGACTTGTAAATATTTAGAGCCTGCTGACAGTGTGTTTGATTAAATGTTACAATATTTGATTGGAGTTAATTGATATTTATGAGCCGCTGCTCTTGTCATGCTAACCGTCTGGAATTGGTTTGGACGAAACCCAAAACTATCAAACCCATAATGAAGCTTGTGTGTGTGTGTGTAAGTGTGTGTGTGTGTGTGTGTGTGTGTGTGTGTGTGTGTGTGTGTGTGTGTGTGTGTG